AATTTGACTAAAGCAGTAAGGGCCACATCACACTGGCGATTTTGTATCATTGATTATTCGCAGCCACAAATCTCTAATACCAGCAGTTAATAGCTATTTGTAGATAGCAATGTAATCACTATAGCCACTTGTGATTTGTCGCTAACAAGCCGTTTTTCACAGTTACAGGTCAAAGTCAGGCCATATCATTACATTAGTGTTTGCTGCTACAAATCGCTCACCTTTATGCAAATACATCTTTAGAAATGTTTAGTATTCACAATCTATAAACAGATACTTATAGAGAATTACTGGCTTTTTATTCTTTGCATGCCTTATTTTTATTTTCCTCCCCACTCTTCTCACAGAGGCCATTTTTACTAAGGGCAGATTAATCCAGGCACGTTTACTTCTTGGAACTATGGCACATGTGACTTGGACATGTGACCATGCTCATCATCTCAGGGGAGGAAAATGCCTTTCCCTGAGATCTCATGAGTTTACAGATGAGATTTCCCAGCAATGCCCTGCTGATGTAACCTTCCCAGGAATAAACTCTTGGGTATGATTACATAATTTGTGCCAAAGAGAACCAGGAAGTAGAAAAAAATAAATTGTAAGTAAAATTAAAATGTTTGTTTAATTAATGTAAGATGAGTTCATATCAGCATGCAGAGCTGCATGCTGAGGTGATTTTTAGTGAATCACTAAGGAGCATATTTATAAGGCAGTAAGTGTGACATTCACCAACATTAACTGCAGGTGAATTATTCCCTGTAATCAAAAACACATGCACCACTAATATTCACACATTGAATGCTTGGTAAATGTCATATTTCCTGCTGCCTTTTTCTGCATGCAATATATCACGCTTGCAGTGATGCAGCTCTGCCCTGGTTCAAGATGGCTGCCAGAGCTTATGAGAAATAATGAAAACATTCCCTGTAATTCATAAACAGTGTCTACAGAGCTCTTTAGAATTCTGTGGAAACAGTTACATGAATTTGACGTGAGTAACACTATTTGAGGTGTGGAGACGCAGTAAGGCCGCAGTCACTGTCCTCAGTCGAGCTCACCACCTCCCATGGCCACTGCTCCTGTCTCACAGAGTTGTGGTCTTTCAAGTGACTTACTTGCTGGTTATACTGCCTTGTTTCTTCCCAAGCCCTTTTGCATGCGAGCCATGGTTTATATATCTTTTGCTGACTGTATGACCTTGTAATTTACACTGTACACCAACATACCTGGATGCAAAGTGTTTGCATGGCTTGGCCCTCTGTGCTTAAATATGGCATGAACCACTTGTTTTTTTAATATTCAATTGTGATCATATTTAGTGGACTGGAGATTTGGGCCTGTTTCAACATTACCTGACACTTTACATTGTCTGTAAAATTTTATAACAGTTTTCTTTATTTAATTTCTAATTGGAAGGGCCTAGAGGCTGATATACAAAAACTGGAAGAAAAGAGTCAAACTGTGGTATAGAAGTGATCTGTGGTACTTCTCTTTCTTCCTTTTCCACTGGAGCTAATCAACATACCGTGGATGTGCTGCCATATCTTTAGTTCCCAATCATGTGGAGGTTGTAGGTGGCCACTCTAGCAGCTTGTTCAAAGTTCAATTCCAACCAAAAGTCTTGAAAAGATTGGGGAAGGGTTAGAATGTTTTCCAGGTTTTACTGCTGTCAATGGGCCCCCTAGAAATCTTTATTTCCCTCTGACTGATGACAGGGGTCAAAGGGAAAGAATGATTTTAGAACCTGTTAGGTTTTTCTTGATAACCCCCCCCCCCCCTCTCTTTTGTCCTGGTGTCACTAGGTTTAACACTAAGGGCCCACTCACACATGTGCATAGAAGCAATGCACACTAAACACATACTGTGCAGTAGAGTGCAATGCAATGCGTTTCTTTTCCCCATTGTGGTACATTGGCAGCCAATTCATAAACGCACATCTCAACAGATTGCTTGTGAGTGAATACAAACCAAACCAAACAGTGGTTCAAACACTACCCCACTGTGTCTAAAACTTTAAAACCAATCTTTTTCCTGGAGTCGGGCTTTAAAGTGACTGCCAACACTGGTTATACCTTGCAAGCAGGAGCTGAAAGGTGCTCCAAAGATTTTAAAGGTGCCCATACACCTCACGACCATCGCAAGACTTTTGTCTTGCGATGGTCGTATGCTTATTGAAAGTTCGTACGATCTGCCCACCTTGGACGGGCAGATCGTACTTGCAATCTTCGAAAGCGGGGTGGGCTTCCGATGGCCGCAATGCAGAACGGGCAGTGTGCGCGTGCGCACACCGGCCCGTTCTACAGCTATCGGACGAGCAGGCTAGAAACTTGCCGACAATCGTACGATTCTCGGCGGGTTTTCGAGCATGTTGGTTCGACAAAAGACGTGCATGTTGGTTCGACAAAAGACGTGCGACCGTACAGTAGAAACGGTCGCACGTCTTCGTTTACACTGCTCGATTCTCGTACGATCGCGGGATTTCGCCCGATTCTCGTACGAGAATCGAGCAGTGTATGGGCACCTTTAGAATGGTGCTGGTGACCGCTTTGCAAAAGCTTGTAAAAGTTCACTCTAATCTTCAGACTGGAAACAAGCTTACAAGCTGCAGTCTTTGTAAACAAGGCCTTACCCACGAGTAGTTGTTGTAATCATTCATTAGATTATGCACACATGGTCCCATAATAAAATAGTTCTCAAGCCTCAGGTGCACATTTTCTGAATCATGTTGTCACACCAGAATATATGATATTGCTGTTTTCTAGTTTCATTTAGTAGAACTAGGTAATACGCACATTTAGATAGATCTGACAAGTTTAATTATGACCTGTAATGATATTTGCCTAACTACGTGTTTACATTTTTTAAAGAATGAGCATATTGCGGCATACATGGAAATGTGTTGACTTGGCAGCTTAACACGGGCGTAGAGCCGTTTAAGACTGTTAATACTAACAATACTCAAGCCTTGACTACAAATTAGAAAGACTTACTGAAAATGTGGGTTTACATGTCTCACCTCTCCCTGCTCCCGCTGGAAACGCTTAGATCTCCTGAAAGGCAAATATGATTTGGAGGAGCCGTACATAGATAAATGCTCCGCGATGTGATATTTGGCAGGTGCATACATACAGTGAATGGAAAGTAAGTTGCCCAAAGTAATGGAGATGTGACATTAGCTGCTGCCTTCATTTGAAAGTGAGAACTTACAGGAAAATCTTCTTTTTTTTTTTTTTAGATTACTCCGCTCGTAAATAAGTCAGTAGATGCTGGACAGATTTTTCTTCACACGCATTATAATGGAATCGCATATTTTTATTCATGTCTTATAAAGCACATACCTTGCTACACAAAAAGATTGCACCACTCAAGAGTGCCAGCAAAATGGGGTGCATACCTATTATATAACTAAAACTGAGAAAAACACACCAAAAAAACAAATTGCTGCACAACAAGCATCTAAGTGTATTTACAAAATGATAAAAGTGCAATCAAATAACCCTAACCCATAAAATCACTTAAAAAAATTAATCCCATGTGTACATTATAATTCCCAAAATGTTATCTGTATTTGGAGAGTGCAATGCCTCTACACACATGCACCAAACAAACATTTTTCACTGGTGGCTATAAAAGACCCAGGTGTTAATGATAAATACAGCATACATTGTAGTGGACAACATACTAACTCAAAAGTAAGATAATGTATGATTGGCTACACAGGAGATAGTGCAAAGTGTACCACCTAAAAGACAGTAGAGAGCATACACAGCTAGCATAATCGTGTAAATTCAACTAAAAGAGAGGCATGAGGAACAATTACCCACTTGTAGAAGATAGGTATTCCAAAAACAGGAGGGGAGAGTTGTTGTTACAGTGAGTTTTACACTAGCTGCTAGTGAGTCAACTTTGCCCATTCACTTTTTCATCTCCACAAAACTCCAACAATAAGATTTCCACACCCATTTCCCAGTTTTGTCCATCTCTCAGTTGTTTTTTACTTTGCAGATAATGCAGCAGTAGATGTAAAACTGCCTGGTGGAGATTTAAAAAAAATCATCATAGTCCATTAAAAAGGTGTTTGTGCAGGGAATTTAAATCCAGAAACGGCAAGTCATATTTCTAGTTGTATACTGTATAATCTCTCTATGAAGTGTTTTTAATTTAATCCACCACTGCTGTGTCTGTGTTTCATCAGCAGCTACTTGATAAACAATAAGACCATCATCCCTTTGTTCTGTGCATAACATGGCAACCTTTAGTCCAAACACCATAGGCCCTTAGAAAGTGCCTAAAGAAATAGTTGTCCTTCTTACAGCAGACAGCTTTGTACATTCAGTCTCCCAGACTGTCCTAGAAAAACCAACAAGAATCTTCATACCATAGGCAGCGAGAAAGGCCCATCATATCGGAATGGATGTATTTCCATTACAGTGTTATGTTGCCAGTTTTCATCAGCAGGTGAGGCTGCTAGTGAAATATGTACCTGTTCATTGTGTCAGGAAAACCAGGCACCTGTGGGATACAGTGACTTCTCTCTTGAAAGATTTAGGGAAATCTATTTATAGAACAATTCCAAGAGATAAACAAAGCATTGGAAATTTGATGTCATCATTTCATGCAGTTATAATTTTTTTAGAAGCCAAAGGCCCTTCATTTTTAAAGCCCAACTCCAGACAAAATGTTTTGTTTTGTTTTTTTTTGTTTCAAAGAATGGTTACAGCTTTTAAATGCAGTGTCTAGGGTGTAGATATTTTCCTTATTTATGTTCTATCTGACACCTGTCAAAAAGACAATAGTGGTGAGATATTCCTTCATTTACTGAACTTTGTGTTCAGAGAAATCTCCTACATGGGGACACAGAGCAATAAAAAGCAGTTTTAGGTTCTAATCATTCCCCACTCTATTGAAAACCAAATACAAGCCCTGTACAAAAGGTAGGTGTTTAAGATTTAACCTTTTCTCTTTTGATAACTAATATCTTATTATTGTTCCTGTTGTTTCAGATGCAGTATCTGGATTCACAAAATGGTGAAGATCTGCTGTTAACTGGTGAAGTAACTTGGCGCCCTCTTGTGGAAAATGATCCTCAAAGTATCTTGAAGCCATCTTCTCCAACATACAATGATGAGGGACTCTAGGATTCTGTGACCCTGTATGCCACATTATGATAGGAATTTAGTGGTGTGCTTAGCTCCAGGAGCCCTCAAAGGAGTATTTTTTTGTTTGTGAGATGAAACAAAAGCAGAAGAAACTAGTTTTTCTTATGTTCTGAGTGGATTAGTTTATATATAAATATTCATACATTTCAGGGAATAGACCATTGACTCTACTCTGCTGGTACTAGGCTACCCAATATTCTCAAGTTCTATGCAATGTCTGGTTTGGTAATACAGTGGCCATATTATTTTCGTCTTGGTCCTGCTCATTAGAACACTTCAGAGATTATTTATAAAAACTGGAGCAAAAGGTTTAATCTCTTAATAGAAGCAAGACATCTGGTTGCTTAAGACAAGTTCTTTTTCTGCAGGTTTCCTTTCTCCAGTTTTCATAAAGTTACTCTAGAAGTTATAATTTCTGTTCCACCTACCCCCACCTAATAATACTTATAGACACTGCTAGGCAATGATCATGTTACATTTGAGGATATTTGACAGGTACAGTTATTTTATAACCCAGTTTTGTGCAACTTTTTTGTATATTTCCGTTATTACTGCATTTATAACACGTTTCCATTTCAAACAGGAAAACATCTTCTATTTTACTCAGACACACCTATTAAACTGATATAGCATGACAAGAACCTACATTAAAGTGTACCTGTTGCCCATGTGTCCTGGATGCTGCTATTCTGCAAAGTAAACGCACTGTGCCATAGTGATGTCATTAATTCCTCGTGTTTTGATCAACTATTCTTTGGAAAATATTGATTCAACCTCATAAATGTCTGCCTCCATTTTGCTTGGGCCATAACTAAACTTTAAGAGTGTTTTATGTGTATTTTGGTGTTTTTTAAGAAATTTGGAACATCTGTCCATGTTTTTACTCTGTTATACTGTAAACTTTTCAAACAGTAAGCGAGTTACATTTTGTAAAAAAAAAAGCACTTAAAGTGCAACTGAAGCCAGAAATTTTTTTTTTAGTTTTGGATCGAGTGGAATTTTCTCTTTTCAGGATTTCCTCTTCTTGTTGTGGCTATCAGACAGGAAATGAAGGGAAATCTCCCCAATGGGACACAGATGGCAAATAAAAAGCTGACAATGTTTATACCCCTACCTTACTCTATCCAAAACTAAAAATAAGTTTTGGCTTCAATTTTACCTTAACCTCTTGCCCGTAGTATAAAAACGGACGGACGGCACTGCTGCATCGGCGGGTTGCTGTCGCCAGACGGCATTTTTTTCTGCTCGCGCGCGCCCCTAGCGGGCACGCACGGGCAGAAAAGACCCGACCATTGCACACACCCGTTACCAGGTGTTTCACATATAGGCGATCAGCGGCTCCATAGCCAGCTGATCGTCTATATGTGCTCGTTCGCGTCCGCCCCCGCTGCTTCATCAGCTTCTTTTGGGGTCCACAGGTGACATTAGGGGTCCTAGAGACCCCTAATGTCTCCATAAAGAGGACCTGTCAGTGTGCCTTTGCTATTATATAGGGGGATTGTTATCCCCCTATATAATAGCAATAACAATAAGTGCAAAAAAAAAAATATAAATAAAAAAAAAGAAAAGTAACACATAAAAAAATAAAATAAAATAAAAGCCACATATAAAAAAAGGGGAAAAAACCCCCCCAAAATGTTTAACTCCCCCACCCCCACGTTTACGCGCCTATAAACGTAAATACGCGTCCGGTGCCCCAGCGCGCAAAAATTACAATTGCGCTACACATGTTACATATCGCCGCGAACGTCGCAGTGAGAGCAATCATTTTAGGGCCATCAATCACTGATAACACTAAACTGATGAGCGGTAACAGCTTTTAAAGCGTCGCCTATGGCCAATTTTGGGTATTATCGTTTTTTGAGGTTTCGCGCGCGCACGCAATTTTAAGGCTTGACATGTTTAGTGTCTTTTTACCCGACGTGACCCCATCTTTTATATTTTACCAAAAAATTGGGTAATAATAAATGTTTTATCATTTAATATAGGGGAAACTGTTTTTTTTTTTATAAAAAATTCGGTAATTTTTCTTTAATATAGTAAAAAAATAAAAACCCCAGTGGTGAATAAATACCACCAAAAGAAAGCTCTATCTGTCCCCAAAAAAGGGTATAAAATTAATTTCAGTACAGCGCTGCATGACGGAATAAATGTCAGTCAAAGTACCGCATCGCTGAATACTGAAAAATGGCCTGGAGGGGAAGGGGGTTTAACACCGCGGATGTCAACAGGTTAAAGAATTCACACATATTTAAGTTAAAGTAACCAGACCTTTGCAGAAGTTGTTATAAGAAATATCTGTTAATTTGTTGTAGACCGTTAGTCTGCGCTAGCTTTTGTGTTCGGCACAAAGGGGCAACCAGACAATTTTCTTCTATGAGGTTATTGGATGAGAATTATGTTTGTGAAAATATTTCTCTGCTATACCACTTTAGTTCTGCTGTGCTGTAATTATATCCAGAAACCTTTTACACATTCATCTAAAAATGTTAATAAAACAAATATACATAAACCAGTTCATGGAAATTGTCATTTATGTATAGAGCCCCCTATAACATGCAATAGTCACTCTAACAATTAGGAATCAGTGGAGCAAGGGAATGCTCTACGCTCTTTATACCAATCTGCCATTTAGATTTCCCAGAAGAGGACAATGCCTATGTTTTCGACTTCAAGAATTAGTACACTTTTATGTATAAATGAAAGACTGACCGCTCACACACATAGCAATGGAAATCCAAGCAAGGGCTTTTCCCAAAAGCTTTTTGAGGGGAATTTATCAAAACTGTAGCAGACAAAATCTGGAGCAGCTGTGCATGGCAACCTATCAGCTTCTCTCTTTTTCAAATCTTAACTGAGCAAACTGAAGAGAGAAGCTGATTGGTTGCCATGCACAGCTGCTCCAGATTTTTGTCTGCTCCAGTTTTGATAAATTTTCTTCATAGTATATAAAGATGGTTAAAAAATCCTCTTTACTACACACAGGAGATGATGCCTCAGCCATTGTTTCAACTGACACTGGAGGGAATTTATCAAAACTAGTGCAGACAAATCTGGAGCAACTGTGCATCACAACCAATCAGCTTTTCTTTCATTTTCAAATCTTAGCTAAACTGAAGAGAGATGCTGATTGGTTGCCATGGGCAACTGCTCTAGATAATGTCTGCTCTAGTTTTTTGTGACATAAAAATAAGGTTTTGTGTTGGTTCATATATGCTAGCTGTGTACAATGGTTTTACCATCTGCGTGAAATAAGATTTTTAACCATCCTCAATTTTTAACCATCCCGATTTTTAACCATCCTTATTAGTAAAAATGGGGCTTTGCTTACGTCAAAGTCCTGAAACAAGTGAAAGCATAAGCATAAAGCACACAGCTGTGCTAGGTGTTTTGTTTTTTTTAAAGGCAGTGTAGACTTTGCTACTGCTTCATAAATCAGCCTGTAAGCAACTTGCCTTGCCATGTCCCGCTAGGAGGGTAAACAGGCGCATGCGCACAACAAGTATTCCCCACGGAAAGACGCGCCGTATGGCGCACCGGAAGTGACGCGCATATAGCGCGAGTTACAAGAAAAACGCACCAAAGGCGTACAGGAAGTGACGTACATGATTGGCCCACTTCCCTATATAAACTGGATCAGCATGTCACTTAGTTGCTGGATTCTCAGCTCCTGTTTGTGTATTGTATCCTGTTACCTGCCTTGTCTTGAAGATCATCGATTACCTGGATTTTGACCTGTTTCTGCTCGATTGCTGCCTGCCTTTTTGACCTCGGACTGTTAATTGGATTATTCTTCAAATTCCCTCGGTACTGCATCTGACCTCCCGGCTTCTGACCTCGGCTTGCCTTGACTACGATATCTGGATTACCCTTCTGCTTGCACGGTTTCACGACCACTGGCACTCGTGCCACTCGGTGTCTGACTGGCCTCTGCCACTATCCTCAAAGGCCATAAGACACGAGGTGCAAGGGAAGCCTCCTCACCCATCCAGTCTCCCAGACCAAGTACGTGATACAGCCTGTTAAAAAGCCAAAAGGTTCAGGAAGCTGAAGAAGGCTGTGAGTCAATACATAAGCTTGTGGTATCCTCCTGTAATATTGAGTGGAAGTTGTCAAGGTAAAAGAAAATAATAGATTTGCTTGTTTTGGGCCTAGCATTAACCTGATATGGTAGGCGCTGAGAAATGCTTAATTTTTCCAGCATTGTGGTGTCTCTTTTCACCAAGACTTTCACTAAACACCTAGTTCTTTAACGATAAATTCCAGGATTTTTTTTTATTAATCCTTACATGCTTCTTTGTGTCTAGGGACAAAAATAACAAAGATATACTCACCCGAAGCTCCGAGCCAACCAGCTGTCCCAACGCTCCCACCAGCCTGTCTCCACCTCCCTGCAGCATTGGAATCTTCCTCAGTGCCCTCACATCTATACACTGTGTATAGATGTTGATGATTTACGGTACCTTAGATCATTGCAGAGGAGGAAGAGGGATGTTGGAAGGACCGGTCTAAGAAGGAGCCGGCTCGGAAGTTTGAGTACAACTTTGTTGTTTTTTTTTACCTAGACACAAATGAGCAGTTAACCCTTGCAGTGCTGGGGTAGTCCCACTGCAATGGTTAATAAAACATTTCCTGGAGTTCTTCTTTAAGCATGATCACGCTACAATATTAAAAAGTGCATGTTCAGTGAAACACCAGCTGGACGCACAAGAGATTCCTATTTTCACTTTGCTAATAAACATTTTATACGAATACCAGAGTGCAATCATCCTTTAAGATTTCTAAGTAATTTAGTTGTGAAAAAGCAGCAGCACCTGGGTGCTACATAGTAGCCAAACCAGGATCAGTAATTTCTGTTACTTGGAACACAGCTAATTCAGTTGTAGACATAAACTGTAACATTTCATGTGAACAGCACTATACATTTCAAGTACCCCTGCCCCTGGATGCCATAGTGGAGACAGACTTCCAAGCACATATGAAATGTTGCTTGGTATTTTGTAAATGTACTGGATATCTGTTCTTTTTGAGCCTTGCCCCTTACCATAAGTGTGCGATTACACAGATGAAAGTGAGTGTTGCTCAACCCTTTTACCTCTTATCCAGACAATGG